CAAGTTATTTTCTGCCACTCCACCCCATCCCAGGATGCCGTAGGATAGCTGAGACTGGACCAGTGCAAAATACAATATTTTGAGGTTTTCCATGTTCAAATAGCCGACCAGATATCTGAATTTGTTTAGCAATCCTCTCAATTTATTCTTTACGCTGGTAATATGCAAGTCCCATCTCATGTGCCTATCTATAATGATTCCGAGATATTTCGTTTCATTTTTCTCCACTATGACCGTATCTTTGTCTATTTCCAAAGGTCCTAGATTAGGTAAATGGTTGGAGTGAATTGTGAACGGTGAGTAAAACGTTTTTTCGCTATTTCCTGCTGATTTGTTGTATTCAAACCAATCACATATTTTTTGAAAGTCAACTTGGGACTCAATTTTCAGGTCGGACCAAGATTCTTCCTTGTACATAATGGCTGTATCATCCGCAAAGCTGAAGAGACTTCCCGTTTATCCGATTTTCATCAACGTATTCATATAAACGGTAAATAGAAGTGGTCCTAGAACGGTACCCTGCGGCACTCCATAGGTCACGACCCTCAGGCGACTGAAAACCCCATCAATACTCACCATTTGTTTCCGATCAGACAGATAATGCTTCAACAAATCGAATGCTGGACCTCTTATTCCATAGGACTCGATCTTATGTAGTAATCTTTTGTAACATACGGTGTCAAAAGCTTTCGATAAATCGACGAAAATACATAACAGGGGAATTTTCCTGTCCAAAGAACTATAGATTTCACGAGTTGATAGATAAACCGCATCTTCTGTAGAGCAACCTTCTCTGAAGCCAAATTGATTCTCGCAGAGAATGTTGAATTTTTCAAAGAACTTTGAGATTCTATTTTTCAAGACTTCTCTAGTCTAGACGTCTAGAAGACGACATGACTACTTTTTCATTCATGAATTTTCTCGAAATAAAATGTTTTTCGAAATCCATTCCATTCCATTCGTTTACGTTTCATTTATAAAATCTATTTCCCCACAAAAACTCATGGAAGTGCAATAATCCTACATTAGTGCCATAGGCGTACTGCATTCAAATCATTCACTCTCTACAATTTGAGTAAATGAATATAGAAAATGTATTCTTCACAAGTTTCATGTGGAATCTGGATGACCGCATAGACTCATTATTAGAAAAAAATATTCTAGTTGTCATCAGTCTCAATAAAACTGATTTATCCAGTGAAGAATCACTCAATGAATTCCTGTAGACTATTTCCTGATTATTTTGATTGTTGCCGTTTTGTTGTTCCCACGTGTGATGGTTTTGGTAACACCATCTTAATGTTTTCCAAGCATACCAAAGAGACGTCTTCTATTTCAGGGTAAATGAAGCTGTTATCAGCTGTTATCATACTCAACGGACTTTCTCGGAAATTCAACCTCACATTCCTTATCTCTTTTACATAATACTTCAGCTATGTAATGAATTTTTTTTTGTTTTTGTCTATAAATTCTATCAAAATAAAATCGGCAACTTCTGACTCTTTATTATACTTGTCTAAAAGAGGTGGTGGATCGATTTCTCCAACAGAATCAATATCATCATCAGAATCTTCAGTTACAAGCATCGCCGCGTTCTCATTTTCTTCGTCTGTTGACTCCTCATCGGATCCTACTTTTCTTTTCAAGATATTTTTCTTCTTCAAGTTTTTTTTTCTCTCTCTCTATCTGTTTAGTTTCCAGGGCGCTCTTTTCTGGAGTGTCAGTGGCGATAATACGATAATAGCTTTTTCTCTCTTCTTTCTCTGATTCTATTGTTCTTCAGCTTTTGGGTATTCTTTGAATTCTTGCGGACTTTCGAAAGTTTCTGTGTTTTGACTTTGTGTGGGAGCTGTGTGTAAATTAACTAATGCTGAAAGTGAGGAGACTGACATATTTTTATTTTAGCTGGGGTCATCGATTTTTCTAATGCATTATTAACACTATATCAAACATAGAAACGGGTATTCCAGGGTGTTCTAAAAGCAATGTTTGTAGGGCAGTATTGTAGAATGATTTGGAAGAAAAAAACACAGAGGCATCTAACGGTTGCATCTTGCTAGAAGTATGCGGTGGTGAGGTCAAAATGATCACTCCATTTTCCTTTGCTAAATTCATTCCTACTATCGTCATATGACTCTCGTGATTGTCAAAAATCAGGAGGGGAAGGGTTTTCTTTTGTGCTAGACGTATGTTCAATGACAACGCTTGGAAACAACTCGTCATCCATCCAGAGTCGGAAACCGATCCAAAAGTACCATACGGTGCTCCATAAGTCACTTTTTAATGGCACGACGCTGTCTGATTGTGGAACACAGATGCTGTCTGAAGGTGGAACTTAAACCGTAATACAACATTAAATTCAACTGTGAACTCCATACATAACCTACAGAATTAAACTCGCCCATAAAATGTCAATAACATAGCCCAAAATCTGATCGAAAGATTGTTTTTGCACTACTTGTTCCAAAAGAAAAATTAAGGCTTATAATATCAAATCAAGGATAGAAAAAGCTTACCAAGGGAAAGAAGTTTTTTGGTGGAAAATGCTAAAATCCAAAAGAATGGCGTTACAACTTTGTTTACCAAAACTGGGTGTGTAACCCTACTATCCGAACGAAAAACATTGAACTCGCGGCTGGAATTTCAGAATTACATGCTTTGTCTGATCGTGGAACATTCTCCCCTATAATATATACCTTTTCATCGGTGGGGGAAGCGGCTGTAGATTTTTGAGTATGTAAAAAAATACTGTTGCATGGACATAGTCGAGCGCATCAGATATTGATAGCATCAATTTCCTACTTATTTTAATAATGTTCGTATGTTAATCTGATCGTTTGCATGATGCGGGTGGTTGTACGTAAGGGTTAAAAGCGAAAAGAAAAAAAAATTAATCGAGCGCGTCAGATTTTCTGGGAGGGTGTTCAGTGCAACAAAAAAAAGCTCTCATTCAATATTCTGACAATTTCGATCTCGCAAACTCGCGGCCATTATTATAATGTGCAAAATAATTCGCAATTTTGGAATATTCAAGCGCATCAGATTAGGATATATATCGTTCATCTTTATGTTCTAGATGTGCTGTCTCATAATCTGACGATTGTCTAGAGGGATTTGCCTAATCTGACAAAAAAAAAATTAATTTTTCCAAATCATTAAACTCAATTGATTGGAAAGCTCAGGAAATAGCATGCAAATAAATAAGTGTATGTTTTTTAAATAGAATACTTTAATTTATAAGAAAATAATTTTGAAAGAATGCTTATAGTCAATTGATTAATCAATCATCATCTTCATCTTCATCACGAACGAGTCTCTGTGATCAGCTGTGAGACGTCATGGCAACAGAATTCAGAGTGGGAACGGAGTGAGAGTAATAGATAGAGAGAAAATGAAAGAGGAATAGAAACTCGGAGAGGGAAATATGGGTATCACACAGCTGCACGCATTAAACTTTATCGACGGATTTTTGTTATTTCGGTTTGCGGAAATCATCAAATTATATATTTTTAGGTTATCCTTGAATTATTTCCTTCAAAATAAAAAAATAGCAACGCTTGAGAATGTCGGAATGATGTTATTTTTTTACAACTTTGCTGCCCTCCCTTTTCTTTACGTCACTCTCAAATTGTCAGATTATTGGAATATACACTTTTTAGCATGTAATTAACTCACGCTATCTTAATCTGACGCGCTCGAGAATTTCTGATGATCATTTTTTTTTACTAATCTGATCCTTTATCCTTCACGGGTGGCCTTATATATGGGGTTCATATTTGGTGGATGTACTTAACCTTGTACAACGTATCTCCCTGTATATTAATCTGCCGCGCTTCAGTAAATCCCGAAATCCCCGATTGGGCTACCCTATTGAGAAGGTAACAATCCTATAGAAAAAACTATTTCAAATATAAATTGTCCTTCTCGAAATAAAATGTTTAAATAAAATTAGTTTACACGATATTTCAATAATTTTCGCATCATACAGAATATATCATTGAAAAAATTATATTAATACCACCAGTCCGACGCCTAATGATACTAACTTACACGTAATATGTGAAAAACCGTCGACCGCCGCTACTGATGTTGTTTGTCTAAAGTCACTTCTTCAATGGCTCTTTATCAGCATCCTCAAGGAGAATAGCGGGTAGAAATATCCCAATGACGTTGTGCTACTATGTTGCTTTCTTTGATGCACAGGCATGTTTGCATTTTCAAAATTATTTCACTTCCAGACAATACCGATTGGACTATAGTCGATGTTGTAAAATTGATAATAGTGCGAGAAATGTGGCCATTACCCATGAGAATGAATTTGTCGAAGGCGAGTGTCGTAAATAATGGACATGTCTCGCAAATAGATTACTTTACTTTTTCTATGACTCAAACTGGAATGTTTCAAAATAAGATTCATTTGTGAAAGATACCCCAAATCAGAATAGTACTGTTGAATTGAATAACAAGAAACAACAGACAAGAGACATTCAAAAATATTTTTCAAGAACTGAAATGGTTTGATAATTGATTAAAAACAGTTCGAAGAAATGATTCACATCTGAGACTCAAACCATGACTACTGGCACTCGGGACCGGAATAATTCTCATTGTATCTCATTGTATCTCAGTGTGGATACATTTCTTTCTGCTGTAGAGAAAGGAATGGGGAATAATACTTCGTAATGATGATCTGCAAGTGTCGAAGTGAACTTCCCATTCCAAAATCTTCCTCTGTGTTTCATTGTCCTGTTCGAGAAAGTTCTCCCAGTTTGACCAATATGTGTTTTGGGACAAGAACAACAAGTCAACTTCTTCTATTTCAATTACGCCCATTGTCGATTCGATGTGAATATGTTTCGCGAAATGAGTATACCATAAGCTCATTTGATGACATTGTTAGAATAATATTTGTTGAAAAGTGTCATTAAACTACTTTTCACAGCACAAGCAGGGTGCTCTTCTCACTGGTATTCCGTCGAACCAGCGCGTCTTATATTTGACATAAAAACTGGTAGAGATAGCAATGCAAGGGTTTTAAAAAATTTGGAAGAATGCAGCCACTATTTCACAACTGAACAAAAATTATGCCCATTCAACATATACATTACTTACCGGAGCCAACATGGAGTAATGGGGTCCATAAAGTAGAGCTAATATGGAATAGCAGAGAAAAAGGCCAAATAGACTACCTGAACAAAATTTGTTCCTTCTTCTGTTGATTGGTAATAGTTGTCCATGCCATATGAGGTGCGCTAGATTCTAGAAACGTTTCAGAGAAAAATGAGAATGGGATATTTCACCAAATGAATGGATCGGTGTTGTATGACTGGAAAGGAAAAGCATGGTGAAAATAAGGATTCGTACTGATCGCTTTCGAAATAGATGGCCTGCTTTCACACCAATATGCCAATATAGTGAGATTTTGTATTTCAATTCAATTTAAATCATATATCCAGTATTATTAACAAGTTAGGTATTAAACGGCTACATAAAAAAATAATCTATACTGAAGAAATTATATATATTTCAAATTCTGAAGATGTTTGTATTAGATGATCAGTGTTATCTATAATAGCACGACGTAATAACGTGATTTCTCAATAAAACAAATAATTAAATAAATAAATTATCTGATGCCTATTTCTATAAGCAATTCATGCAATGTAGCTATGTGCTGCAGATTATTCATGAAGACAAGGGTCTTATTGTCCAGTTATCAGTTCTGGACTTTCCTTGAATTTCAATAGTTTCGACTTTCATCAGTTCCGGAGATTCAACTACTTAAAACAAGAAGGAACTTCATTTTTTGTGGAAAATTCAAGGCATTTGTTCGAATTACTAGGGACAATCGAGGTCACAGAGCAAATTCAATTATTCAGCTAATGCCAATGGAATCGTCACTTTCACCAGTTATAGCCAACATATATACGGAGTGGTTCAAAACTCTGGCTATTGAAGTCTGGTTGAAATACTGTATTTCCATAGCATGGAACTATGGAAATACAGAACTAGACAGTTTTCTGAAGCACATCAACAGCCTAAGACCCTACATCTCCTTCACAATGAAGAAGGAATTCCACAACGAATTGCCATCGTTAGACGTATTGGTGAAGAGGACCGACACTGTAGGGAGTATCAAAAAAGTCTTCAAGGGAATGGTTGCTCCAAAGTGATTATGGAACAGACTTTGGCTAGAAGACAACAAGAGCCTCAGAAAGAAAAGGAGCTGACACAACCAGTGCTTGTACTTCCCTACTTGACGATATTCACCATGAAACATTGTCAACCACCTCCAGACTAAAGTTTTCCTGTTCAATCATATTGAGCATTCAGTTTATTTGGTAATATAGTATTGATAGACTTTTTGTTTATGTCTGCTAGTTGTGCAAAACAGTTTTCGGAACGAAAAAATTTGGAATCATACATATTCAAAATTGTTGGTGCTGCTTGGCTTCAAAATAGAACCTAGGACCTTGAACTGAATTGAAATGGATCTATTTGAAATACGTGACTATACATATTCATCCATGCAAGCAGCTTCATCGGACCAGAACCTGTCATTTGTATCGCTTTAGGCTTTATCAACCAAAGATTGAACACCTGGACAGAAAGAAGATTTATGGACTTCTGGCAGAATCTTCCAGGATTGGCTCATACCAAGGCGTTTATTCACCCTTCGAAGTTTGATACCAAACAGTTGTTGGACTACAGTAGGGATGAACTACGATGTCTAACAGGACTTCACATTGGAATCATCATATGCAGAGACTTGGACTATCGGAAGACGGTGTGTGTCGCCTCTGTTCGGAAAATGATGAAACAGCAGAGCAGATACTTTGTGCCTGCCCCGCTGGGGTCCGGATCAGATTTTTAGAGTTCGCCAGAGTCCTACTCTCACCTTCCGACCTGAAAGACCACTCACCATTCAAATTAATCGGCTTCTTCAAGAAGCTGGGTTTATTAGGTCGAGTGTGAATTGGTATGAGCCACAATGAACTCTTGCAGGTTGCAGTGGCGAATTGACCCACTCACTTTGGCCCTAACCTAACATAATCTACACCGGGTATCTGCAAAATGTTGAGATATGAAACATATAATCATTGTGCTGGAATTTGAGCAGTCGACAAATTATTATAACTGCAGCCAACATTCATGTACTACTAGTAATATAACGTATGAAAGGGATGTGTTTAGATATGGGTCGCATACAAATACATACCTCCAGTTCCAAACGAATATTTCGTCAGAAGGAAAAATGGTTATTTTCGATAATTATATATAATCTTACAGAAATATTCACCTTTATTACAGGATAAAGTGGAGTGAAATATTTGAGAGCGGATCTCATTCCAGTTAGATTAGCCACCGGGGCCATCTCTATAATACCAGATAATCTACTCTTAGATTCTTCGGGATACAGAATGGAATAGATATTTACAGCAGTATTAGCCATGGAGAAACCAATAAATACTGCTTTTGTCCCACTGGTTTTGTTCTCAACCAGATCCATCGCTGCAGGAATATCAAATTCACCCATCTGGTGGAAACTGAAAATTTTAGTAGAATTTATGGCGGATGATGTTACTTGAAATGGGATTGAAATGTTATAAAACGTTTCCATGCAAATGGTTCGTTGTGTCTGAACAATTTCTAAGCAAGTCCAAAAACAAGCAGGTCAACTGAGTTGATTCAAATTTGAAACAATATTCAAATGCAATGCTAACCTGATACTGTCTACTGGATGAAAAACAAGCATTTATGGAGTCCCAGTTCCTAAAGGTTGTACCGAAAACTCATCCTTTGATAGATTAATGGTTTATTGTGTTCGA